ACACACACACACACACACACACACGATGGACGATACTGACGCAGTGGAAACACGGCAGTCACAGAGAAACACGGCCAACATGCCAAAAACACGTAGAAAGGAGTCCGCTGGTTGTGAAAGTGGATCTTTGTGAATGACTTCCTTCTGCGTGTCTCTGCAGGCTGGACCACGGAGGAGAGCGCTGGCTGAGGCCCGGTCTGAGGAAATGTCAGTGTTCAGGTGTCGGTCCGCTTTAAGCCCACAGTTCTGTCCTGTTGTTGTTCTGGACTTTGATCAGCTGTTTGAACGCTAATCCATGTTAGTGTGAGCCCTGACTAACGTTAAGTAGGTGATGAACATGTAAACATGTGGACCAGTCACTAGGTTCAGTAGGAGCACAATGAAAACTGGGATGAGTGCAGAATGAAATAGCTGGAGGCCGGAGATACGCAAAAATAATGGTTGTTAATGGTAGGAAAAATTAAGGAAAATAAAACATTTACAATTTAATGTCAATAACAACAATAACAACAAGCCAGCAAAAGGAAAAAACAAAAGCCCGTCCCTGAGCTTAGTGTTTGTCTGTTTTCTTAGTCGTTAGTCAAGTCAAAGTTCTTTCATAGTTCAGTTCTTTTCCTCTGTCGGTGTGAGTTGTCACCACTTTGCTGGTTAACACGTGAGGATCTTCAGATGAGAGTTGGGTTCAGTTCTGGGCACCGGCTCACCATCTCCATCCGGAGAACATCAGGTATCCAGGAGTCCGATTCAGAGTTTTCTTAACCATCAGAAACAACCTAGCCTGCACAACAACTATGGTATTATTGTATACAGCTAAATATTCCTCCTCTCACACAGCTAGAGCTTAGTTTCTATCCTCCTTTTCTCACATCATTTAGAAACAAACAATATTATTTTACATGCATGTTTTTCTTCACTCAAAGCATCTTTTGTTTCACATGAAATAACTTCTAAATTCACAGAACAAATGAATTTCTGCTTTTATCTGTTTTTAAACTAACCATGAAATTATGATTAATCATCTCTGATCAATGAAATGATTGATTTTTAACCCATCTTTCAGGTTTTGTAAATCATAGCATGAAATACAATAATGCTTCCTCAGCATTACTCAGGATTTCTATGAGCGTTCACATAGTAACCAATAAAAATGTGCATTTAACATGAAATAAACATTACATTTGACCAAGAAACGGTGGAAAATAATTAAAGAATGCTTCATTACAGAATTAAGAACTCAAATTTCACTTCACAGAACCACACATCAACCAGAAATAGCATCTCCAGGACTTTTACACAATAACGTTTCACCCGCGATTAGCATTAGCATGAGCTAACCTCAACATGGAGCACCTTTTCTCTCTACAGGGTTTCAACTCACCTGGATGACGTTTCAGCTCGAGCACCGTCAGCGACCTACTCACAGCCGCTCGAGCTCGTGCTCAAGAGTGCAAAAGACCGCGAAACTAATGCGCGTTTCAGCCCGCAGCTTTGGAGGCGGGACTAACATTAGTCTGAACAAATGAGAAGGTCATTGTCACACAACGTGACCATGAAAACAGGAAACAAAGCGAGGGAGAGAGGAAGACATTTCCTCCTTTCAAAATAAACCTTTTTTCAAAATAAAACTCTACAACATTCTACAAATAAAAGGAAGAGAAAAAGTCATTTTCTCTACTTGGCTACATTAGCCAACATTTCTAGCTGTGAGCCCAACCTTTAGCTCAGATCATCACACAGTCCAAGCGGACTACGGATTAGATAACTAGAGACTGAAACATGAGCTGTTTGTTGATGTTCACACCTGTCCAGGTGGTTTCTGTTCCTCTGCGCCGACCAGGCAGCACACGGTCACGTAGCTAAAGCGGATCTGTGCAGCCGAGTGAAGGTTTAAACGCTGTCGTGTCTCCACAGACGCCTGTGAACTCAAACTGGACCCGAACACAGCGGGCGGAAACCTGCGGCTGTCTGACGGCGGCGACGGGGCGGCGTGGGTGGACCAGGAGCAGCCGTACCCGGATCACCCGGACCGGTTCAAGCCCTGGAGCCAGCTGCTGTGTACAACTGGTGTCACTGGGCGCTGTTACTGGGAGGTGGAGTGGGACGGCTGGGTTTATGTGGCGGTGAGTTACAGAGGAATCCGGCGGAGAGGACCCAGCCGCGACTGCTGGTTCGGATTCAACGACCAGTCGTGGAGTCTGAGGTGTTCCGGCGAGGGTTTCTTTGCGTGGCACAATGACTCGAGGACGGAGCTGCCCTCGGCCCCGGTGTCCCACAGAGTGGCTGTTTATGTGGACCATCCTGCCGGAACCGTGTCCTTCTACAGAGTCTCTGACTGTCTGACCCACCTCCACACCTTCAGCTCCACCTTCACCGGGCCTCTGTACGCCGGCTTCAGGATAACAGGCGACTCCTCGGTGTCGCTGTGTTCGCTGTAGGACGAGGAGCTGAGCAGCGACGCTTCTGTGTGTCGCTGACAAGGTCAAGACATGCAAACTCTCACTGACACTGAAGCTGTGCTCATTTTGAGATGTGTTCACGCAAACACTCCAGGAACGAGTGTTTCTAATAAGATGTCCATAAGTCAGTGGAACGACCCGGGTTCTCCACTGATTAGAACTTCTGTACTCATGTAGAACTGCTGCTCATAGAAAGTTTGTTTTCGTCTTGTTTCTTTAAAAAGGAGGTTCATGGGCCGCCGGTACAGCTCAGCTGGTTGAGCCGGCGACCCGTGTACCGGGCCTGTAGTCCCCGACGCAGCGGCCGTGGGTTCGGATCCAGCCCATGGCCATTTGCTGCAGGTCCCTCCTCCATTCTTCTCCCCACTTTCCTCTCTCTCTACTGTCCTGTCAAATAAAGGCCAAAAAAAAACTTTATTAAAAAAAAGAGGTTCATTTAAAGACACGCTGAGCTCGCCTACATGTCTGATCTTCTGGAAACACGACTAAACCTGCTGTCTATAAATAAACCTACAGAAATGTTAACATCTGGTTCAGTCTGTCCATGTTCTCCTCAGTCGGGTTCTTCTGGTTCCGTCCACCAGCTTCTGGTCCATCTCTGACTCCTCTGGACAGAACCGCTGCAGTTCAACTAAACTTGTCGTCTTTGTGACTCAGACTTGTTCCTTCATCAGTCCACAGGTTCTGGATGGTTCCAGTCAGGACTTTGGGGAGACCAGTCTAGAACCTTCATTCCAGCCTGATGGAACCATTTCTTCACCACTTTGATGTGTGTTTGGGCTCATTGTCTGGTTGGAACATCCAACTGTGTCCAAGATCAACCTTCTGCTGATGGTTTCAGGTTCTGCTGAACAACCTGGAGGTGGTCCTCCTTCTTCATGGTTCCACTGACTTTGTGTGAAGCTCCAGGTCCACTGGCAGCAGAACAGAACCAGAGCATGATGCTGCCACCTCCATGCTTGGTGGTAGGTTTGGTCCTAACAGCAGGTTGATCATTAAAGTTGCTGTTTGCATAATTTTAAACAGATTTTGTCATATTTCCAGAAGACCTTCATTCAGTCAAGGAAAGAGCCAAAACACAGCTGATGTTTGTGATCCAGGAGTCACTGGAAACTCAGACACCATGAACATGGTCCTCAACTGTTAGCCACACTTTGAGCTGATCATTTCTGACGTGACATAAAATTACAACCTTTTATTTGCACCTGACAGTCGTAGCTCAGGTGTGAGCCGTCTACGGATGAACACCTGAGGGCAGGTGTAGGGAGAGGTGGTTCCTTCTGCTGAACGTGTTGGACGTACGAGCTTCAAGCTGGAAGCAGCTTTAAATAAAACAGCGCGTTGTGTTTGAAGCCGGCAGGTCCAGGCTGAAGGTCACAGAGTCCTGATCTGAGACCAGCAGCTGTCCTATCAGCACCAGTAGGTCCAGCAGCAGGAGACGATGACAACACGTGATCAGGAGCAGTCAGGAGGACCTGAAGCTGCCTCATCTGAACGGGTCAAAGTAGAACACCAACAGAACAATAGCAGCACAAAGAACAGAAGGAACTGGTCCATCCTCTGAGGCACGGCGCGGCCCGGTGGGACATCCTGCAGGGACACAAACCTCAGAGCTGCTGCAGCTGAAAGTGCTCCTGAATCACAGGATCCCTGCGACACCAGAACCAGAACCTCTGTTAGAACCTCATCACGTCCAACCGCATCATTTGCTGTGACGTTGTTCCGGTTGTCATGGCAACAGCAGCAGAAACAGAACATCTGACGCCCGACCCGCCTCAGCCTGGTTCTGCCAGGGGGACACTGATCCGCTGGGCTTTTCAGGAAGAACTTTGTGTGTGATTAATCCTATTTAACATGTGAATTATTCTGTAGTTAGGGCGTGTCGCGTTGCACATGAATGACATGTAGCACTCCGGTCTGGGTCGGCCCGTGGGCCCGTGGGCCCGTGGGCCCGCTGAGTCTCTACTTTCATGTTCATTGAGGCCAGTAGGCTGAAAGCAGCTGTAGATAGATGCTGCTGCAGCGTTCGGAGAGCTGCTCTTCAACATACTGACGTCTTCTGAAGCAGCTCGTCTCAACCTTGAACACCAGCAGCTGCAGATTCACAGCAAAGACAAGTTTGCACTCGTCGGGAATTTGTTGCCTCCGAGTCACAAAACCAGTTTCAGGATCCGTCAGCAGCTTCAACAGTCCAACAGACTCCACGACGTGATCAGCGCCGCTGCCAGATTTCTAATAAACATGAAGCCTAAAGTCCAGGTTTGATTTCTCCTGGATGGACTTCCACTGGTTCACAAGCAGCAGCACTCCACAGTTTATCTCTGCTGGTTTATTATCTGCACTCACATTCCTCCGGGCTTTTATTTTGACGGTGTGTGTGACAAGGTTCAGAGACGCTGTGTGGAGCTCAGCGCTTTGTGAACAGTCTGAACCCAAAGTAGTGTGACAGGCTAATGTTAGCTGCAGATGCTAATAGTGTGAACCCAACATAGCATGACAGGCTAATGTTAGCTGCAGATGCTAGCAGTCTGAATCCAACGTATTGTGACAGGCTAACGTTAGCTTCGGATGCAAACAGTGTGAACCCAAAAGGGCACAAATGACTCTAAAACTGTAACTATATATATATATATATATATATATATTAAATTTGATTGTTTATTTGATGTGAATATCACATCTATTTTAGCATATGTGCTAATTCCAAACACTAAACAATAAAAAATAGTATAAATACAGTAATATAGTAATAAACAGTATGGTAATAGTAAAAATAATATAAAAAATCAAATAAAAATACATAATAAATAATAAAAATAGCAATAAATATAGTACAGCGGTAGAAAAATAATATATTTTAAAAAATCATTAATAAATGAATTAAATAAAAGTTGCATGTGATCTCTCTGATGGTCTTTGAACTCGTAATCTGTCGTGTTCTTCCGTCAGTGTAACTGCTAAATTCAGTCGAAGCGATTGGTTGTCAGACGAGCTTCACAGATTCATCGTGTGGATGCTTCAGTGAGTTTCTGACTGATGGTTGAACCTTGGAGTGAGAAATAATCAACCAGCAGATTAATCGCCACTAATAGTTCGTTGTTGCCATCAAGAGGGAAAAATATGGACTTGACAGAAGTTTCTCTTGAACTAAAATCACATTTTACCGCCAACAAACCGTCACAAGTGGACCAATGACTGTCTCTCTGTGGCTCTGCATCAGTCCATCAGCTGATTGGATCTGAAGTGTCAGAAAACGTGCATCAGAGTTTCCTCAGATGTCCGGTTCCACCCAGAGGCCTTCAGGTTGACAGAGGAAGTCTGGTGTGAGCGTTTTCTGGTTTCTCTGCAGCAGCTTGGTTCCAGGATGGTGTCACCTTGTCAGCCGGACACTTGTCTGCATTCCTGCCGTTATCAGGCCACGTGTGGGGCCGAGGAGGTCCGGGGCCCGCTGCCTTGTATGGCCTCGGCCCGGCGGCCGGCCGATAGCGGCGGCGTGTCTGGAACCATGTGAGGTTCTGTTAAATTTAGAGCAGCTATCAGCGGCAGCTCTCCTCTGCTGCCTCACTCTGCCGCTGCTGCTGCTCAGGTGAGTCTGTTCTGCTGCCGGACCCGACGGACCCCGATGCTCTGGTAACGTTCTGGTTCTGCGTCGGGGACCCGCTGTGTTCCTGCACACGTTTCACCAACGTTCTGCAGCTCTGTGGAACCAGAACATGAAGGAGGAAACAGAACTCAGAGATGTTCTGTCAGCAGGACTCAGAACCGTGGAGACCAGAGAGGAGGATCAGAAGTTGAATCTTTTTTTGTCTTTTGTGTCTTTGTGGGACACTTTGTCTGGTTCTGGTCTTCCCGGGTCGTGTTTCTCGTTTTTGTTGCTTCATGTCTTTTTGTGGTTGTTTCATGATCCGACCCTGGAGCTCATGTCGTCTCCTCGCTGTAGGAAGATGTTCCACCATCAGAACCAGGAGAAGGAAGGTTCTGGTTCTCCTGTAACCTGTCAGAACAGATGCTCCATCCTGACAGCAGACATCTCTGAGTTCTGTTCTGGTTCCACAGAGCTGAGGGTTAGAGTTGGACCGAGCTGTGACGTTGGTGTGAAGCCGGTTCTGAAGCCGGTTCTTGACATCTGGATCTCCATATGAAAGCAGCTCCGAGCCTCGTCTCCACGTACGTCCTGATTCCTACAAAACAGCAACAGGAAGCCACTGGAGGTGTTAGGATCAGTTGATCTCACGCTGAGTCCAGCTGCAGGAGGTTTCACTTGTTGGTCCAGATCAAGAGAAGGTTGGTGGTCCAGAGCTCCTGTGGCTCCAGGTGGCTGATGGGTAATCACTCTGCGCTTCGCTGATCAGGTCTGAACTGCAGCTTTAGTTAACTTCATCACGATAGCGACGTCAGCCCATGAATACTGAGGGACAAGACCAGAACCGGACCAGAACAAACCTAAACCAGACCAGAACCAGACCAGTAGACCAAAAACAGTTAAACCAGAACAGAACCGGACCAGAAGCAAAATCTGTGTAAGCCTAACCTGAAAACCAGTTTAAAAAGCCTGAAACCAAGTCTTGGCCTGGTCCAAACCAGTCTTAGATAAAGTCTAAACCAAGTCTAGAACCAGGTTAATCCAGGTTAATCCAGGTTAATCCAGGCTAATCCAGGTTAATCCAGGTTAATCCAGGTTAAACCAGGTTAATCCAGGTTAATCCAGGTTAAACCAGGTTAATCCAGGCTAAACCAGGTTAATCCAGGTTAAACCAGGTTAAACCAGGTTAA